ACGGGGAAGTGGTGGGTAGATAGGGGATGGAAAGGTTTTTCTGGAAGTTTATTCTGGTGTTCTTGTTGTTGTAGTTTGTCAATAAACTTTCTTTTTTTTTCCCCTTTTAAGTTGTATGCCTGTTTTGCTCTTGTTCTAATCCATATCTCACAGCAAGATGTAAGTAATTTTCTTAGTTATTGGTTTAAAACCACGACACCTTGGTTTTGTGGGACCCCACAGTATCACAATGATCTCCTTGGTTCGATGAGGTTCTGGATTGTCACAGTGTTCCCCACAGTGTTCCCCTTACTTCTGCAGTGTCACAATGGCCCTGTGCTCCCTTGAGGCCTTGCACTGTCACAATGGCTCTGTAGTTCCACAAAACCCTGATGTGTCTGTTGCCTTTGTAAGCATAGTGACCTGGTTCAGGAACGGCACAGCGACCAACCCCAGGTCGCTTGGTCCATCAGCTCGCAGACACCAATGTGGTGGATGGCAAATGTGTGCTTTTTATTTGTGTTTATTAGAGAAAGATATGACACTATATAGTCCGGGTTTACAACATCACTTCCGTCTGCTTACATCACTCCCTAAACACTATTGGCTATCAGAAGAGGGGTCTTATCTTTCCGTACAGCACAATATCTTCTGTCCGCCGGACCCTAGTCCGCCGGACCCTAGCTGCCTACATTTCCCCCCTCCTTATGCTTAACTAAATTGGCTAAAATATAAAAGATACTGGTCATAAAAATTCTACCCTTTTTCTCATTCTATATTTTATAAAAAATACATTGCATAGACTTGAGTAAAAACATAAGATACGCTACACTTAACTAAAAAGCTAACGCATAAGAAGCTTAGGCATAATACCTAAGTAACTTTTAGGAGCTCTTGTTTAAAGCAGTTGCTGACGCTCTACTAACATAATGTCAACTCTCTCTAAGCGGCTTCTGACAAATGACACAAGCCTATTCAAAACACACGGTCCAAAGATTAACACCAGTAAGATCAGGCCCGATCAGGGTGGATACTAGGGTGGTCAGCCACAGAGACTTAAATAGTGATACGAACCACTCTTGTTGATCCTCTCTATCTCTTTTTCTCTGGGCTAGTCTTTCCCTCAATTCAGCCACTGAGTCTCTGACCACTTCAGTGTGATCAGCATAAAAGCTCTTCCCTTAAGGCGACACAGAGGCCTCCTTGCTGCATGAGCACAAGATCTAGTCCTCGCCTATTCTGCAGGACAACTTCAGAGAGTGAGGACAGTGACTGTTCTGGAAAGGAGATAGACCTTTCAGTTCTCTGTAAGTCTTCATCAATTGTCATTTGCTGCTGGGACAGTCCTTGTTGTTGGGTCACAAGGGCGGAGACACCTGTGCCAGCACCAGTTGCTCCCAGGCCAAGCAGCATCGCTATGGTCACACCTGTCACTAGTTCTCTTTTCCGAAGTCGGGTGAGTTTTTCCACCTGGAGGTTAAACTCTTCATCTGAGTGGTACAGGACCCTGGGAACAATCACAACTTGCACACAAAAATTGTTAGAAACACTAAAGTCACAAACAGATAGGCATGGGGTAACTCCAGTGCAGTGGCAAACCCATATTCTGGGTGTTGATGGAATGACCCATTTATGGGACTTCTCAATTCTGGTAACAGCTGCACAGATGTCTTTCTTCACTCTGTTATGCATGCACTACCAGCACATATGCCTTGGCCTGTAACGTGAGTGAGAGTAATGTCTTTTCAAGAGGTGTTCCATTTACACTGAACTGGGTTGGGATCATTCGAGTAGTCAAAGGGGACATTAAGGGCAATGGCTTCATAAAATGGGGGATTGGTATCATAACATAGCCAACAAGAACTTGTAAGGTTCAGGTTAGACTGATTTAATGATAAAAAGGCAGCATCTAGCATACAAAAAGATGATGCATAAGGGGTTGCTCCGTGCATGTTCAGGTGGCTAAATGGGGTGGGGGCAAGGGTAGTGTGGGCTTTTTCCTTTGGTGTTTCTTTTATTAGGGCATGATTAGGTCCCACTGACTTGGGCTCTTGAGGTAAAGATCTGATTATTTGTATTACAGCTCCAGGATCTGGGTAGTATCTATGAATAAACACTGACCACATCTTTCCTACAGCCCAACTCACATCGCCTGGTTGTAAAACTGTCACTTTTAGGTAAGTGCAAGTGCCTCTTTCGCCTACCATTCCTTCCAATGCAAATGTGGGACATCAGCATCCATTTGGGGCCTACGTTACTTGTAAGTACTCATCACTTTTAACTGGCTCCCACCTACCAGATGTCACAATATTTTCACATCCCCAGTACCCACAAAACCAGCATCCTGGGTAATTACAGTAGCTTTTCCTGGGATTTGAGCTGGGGCACCAGGACATTCCCCACAATGATCTGGATCCAGGTTTCATTTCCACAGGAAAAATGTCTCCAAGCTATACATCGAAGCTGGGGACGCCTGTTACAGTACTATCTCTAATTACTCTGCCTGTTGTTGGATCTCAAAGAAGTCATCAAAAGGGTTGGTAAGGATGGCGTTCTGGTTCAGCCTGCGTTACAGCAGCTAGCCCTAGAAGCAGAATGGTGCAAAAACATCGATATTGTTTGGGTTTTACTGGCGTGGAAGTCTCCGATGTCTTCAAGGTATTTGCCGGCTTGTCACCCTCTTCTGTTGCTAGGGCCTACAGTTTACGAGGACGTCCACAAATCCATTCCTGTAGAAAGAAGCCTACAGTTTTCATTAGCTTTATTCTGGAGGTCTGGTTTAATAGACTTAAGTGGACACCATTTGACTCTACCTTCTTTTCTGACTGCTGCATACCGGCGTCCTGTCAAAACCAATTTTCACCCTTGTTCCCATTCCCCCAGCTCATTTCTAACTATGACCGATGTGCCTTCTTCTAGCGCTCAAATGGCCCAATGCTTTTGGGATTTTGAGGAGATTTAGGGAATTTTGTGGCATTTTTCTGGAATTTTGTGGAATTTTTGTGAATTTTTTTTTATTTTTGTGGAATTTACTGGGATATTTCTGGAATTTTGTGGATTCTTTCTGGAATTTTGTGGGATATTTCTGGAATTTTGTTAGATATTTCTGGAATTTTGTAGAAGTTGGAGAAGATTTTTGGGATGATTGTGGAATTTGGTGGGGTTTTGAGAAGATTTAGGGAATTTTGTGGGATTTTTCTGGAATTTTGTGTGATTTTGAGAAAAATTAAAGGATTTTGTGGGATTCCAGGATTCTGGAAAAAAACGATTCTGGGATCTCTCCGGGACCACCG